TACCTTTCTATAAGTTTCTCATGACCCTCTCCTATGTTCCTAAGCAAGATAACATCATTAGGTAGTAGTCTATTCTCAAAAGTATGAAAAGGATCGCTTAAGAACGAGCTCACCTCTAAATTGAGTTGATGCATTCGAGCTTGGGTCATTGGACCTTGCATAACGATCGGAGGACCAGCAGGTACATCCAAAGAAGTGATGTCCTCATCATCCTCCCCCTCTTGAAACTGAGTCGTCCTCGACTCAAGCTCATCTTCTTCTCCCAAATAAGGTTTCAAATCTGTAATGTTAAAGGTGGGACTAACCTCGAACTCGGGTGGCAACTCAAGTTTGTAGGCATTATCATTTATTTTCTCAATTATCTTATAAGGACTAGCTGCTCTTTTTTTAGATAAAGGATAGTTTATATCCGACATCATCTACCGAGGTAGAATCAGGCCCATTATTACAAAGTTCACAGCACACCACTTTCAAGGTTGAGAAGCTCACATCCAGACTTTGGGAAACAAAACATGAAGAGAAGTCCTGACTAACAAAGACCAAAAAACCTAGTAGATAACCATCCACTGGAACTAAAGAAATGCAGGGCTGAAGTCTCCAAATACTGCCCAACAAGGGTCAGCTGGTCCCGTAGATCATCACGCCGCTGTAGTCTTGCCCACTGTCGTAGCCAATGGGTTCCCCTGAAGAGCACCTACAAAAAAGTTTTTGGTCTACATTTGTCAAAAACCACTTCATTTCTTGTTAACCAAATTGTCCAACATAAAGCCACTGCTGCCGTTAATAACAATGAGTTATAAATAACATCACCCATCTTAGACCAAGTAACAAATAAATCGTCTATGTTGAGAGGAGGTGCTATTCCAAATAATAAGTGTACAACGTGCCACAGAAATTTGGCATAAGCACATTCGAAAAAAAGGTGGTGAATAGTCTCTGTAGAGTGACAAAAGCAACAACTTTTGTCACCATTCCAGTTACGTCTTGCAAGGTTATCTTTGGTTAGGATTACATCTCTTTTTAGGTACCACAAGAATATCTTTATTCTTGTAGGAATCTTGATCTGCCATAAATCTTGTGACACTCTAACACCATTGTTAATTAACTTGGCATACATAGATTTAACCGAGAAGGTACCTGATGAATGTAAAGCCCAAACAAATGTGTCTCTTTCCCCCAGTAAGTTCACATCTTGTATAGAAGCAACAATTCTAAGCCAGCCCCTTAGATTCCTACTCACTAAATTGCAGCGAAAGGAAATGTTAAGTGGGACTGAAGCAAGTACTCTTGCCACTGAATCTTATTTTCTTCTCACAATATTGAACAACGCAGGAAATCTATCTTTTAGTGGCTGGTCACCCAACCAAGCATCAATCCAAAAATGAGTTTGTGATCCATCTTTCACTCTGAATGAACCCAAACCCATGAAAGTATCTTTAACATTCATCAAGCCTTTCCAGAAATGAGAGTCAGTTGGCTTTTTAGTACAACTCCCTAGAGTCTTATCTTTTATGTATTTATTCCTCAATAATTCTTGCCACATGCCATCCTCATTTAGCAATTTGAAAAGCCATTTACTTAACAGACATCTGTTTTGTAAGTCCAAATTTTGAATACCTAAGCCACCTTGGATTTTTGGTTGGCACAAAATTTCCCATTTAGCCAGCCTATATTTGCGCTTGTGTTGGTCATTTTGCTAGTAGAATCTTGATCTTAAACAGTCAATCTTTTCCAAAACTCCTTTTGGGAGTTTGAAAAATGACATCATAAACATCGGTAAGCTAGAGAGCACCGAGTTTATTAAAACCAAGCGACCTCCTACCAAAAGCAACTTGCCTTTCCAACCACTAAGCTTCTTCTCAATTCTGTTTTCGATTGTTTGCCAATCTTTATTAGTCAACTTCCTAGTGTGTATAGGTAAGCCAAGGTAACAGAAAGGAAACTTACCCACCCCACATCCAAACAGTTGCGAGTAAAACACCTTATGATCCTTTGCCTTACCAAAGCAAAAGATCTCACTCTCGTGAAAGTTAATTTTAAGCCCTGAGAGTTGCTCAAAAGTACTTAAAATTAACTTCATGTTTCTCGCTCTTTCAAAATCATGGCTCATAAATATTACTGTCGCCCGCATATTAGAGGATGGACAAGCCATCTTGGACAAGGTGAGGTAAGACCCCTTCTACCTGACCTGCTTCCTTTGCTCTAGCAATCAGTATAGCCAGCATATCTACCACTATATTAAATAGTATTGGAGACATTGGGTCACCTTGCCTTAAACCTTTTTTCGTTTGGAAGTATGAACCAAGTTGATCGTTCACCTTAATATTTACATTTCCTCCTTGTGTGAACTGCTTCACCTAAGAGCACCATTTTTGTGAGAAACCTTTCATCCTTAAAGTTTGTTGTAGAAAGCTCCATTTTACAATATCATATGCCTTTTCAAAGTCTATCTTGAAAATAATCCCATCTTGTTTTTTCGAGTGAAGTTCATGTATTGTCTCGTGAATTATTACTGTGCCTTCCATAATGTTTCTACCTAGAAGGAATGCTATTTGTGTTGGTCTAATAATCTTCTGGGCAACAGTAGATTATCTATTAGTTGCAACTTTGGTAAAGATTTTAAAAGAAACATTCAACAAACATATTGGTCTGTATTATTGAATCACTTTCGCATCTTTCTTTTTTGGTAGCAAAATTATCGTTCCAAAGTTGAGACTATTCAAAGGCAAGGTTCCCTCATGGAATTCCATAAACATAGCCATCAAATCATCTTTTAATAAGTCCCAGAAGACCTGATAAAACTCTAGTGGAAAACCATCTAGGCCTGGTGCCTTATTATGTTCCATTTGGAACACTGCTGTCCTTACTTCTGATTCCGAGAAGGCATCTGTCAAGTGCTCATTTTCTAGTTCGGAGACTTGTGGAATGTCATGAACATAGTGTTCATCTAACTCAATAAAAGAATTCTCCGGAGGACCAAAAAGACTCTTGTAATAATTGGTAATATGCTGCTTCAACTGAGCATCACCATCTATTACAGTGTGACCGTCCTCCAACTGGAAAATATGAGTTTTCCGATGTCTTCCGTTAGCCAACAAATGGTAATATTTTGTGTTAGCATCACCCTCCAGTAGGTGCTTAACCTTTGCCCTTTGGTACCATTTGAGTTCCTCTTCTCGAAGTATTTCAGCAAGCCGTTCATTTAACACGTGTTTTAAGTTTAGTTCCGACTCATCAAGCAAAGAGTTCTCTGCCTTTTTATCTAGCTCATCGAGTTTGTTTAACAAGGTCTTCTTTTCTTTCTTGTAGGCACCACTCACATTTTTTGCCCATCCTCTGAGGTATTGGCGGAGCTTTCTGATTTTTGCTTGCCACCTCTCTAGGGGGCTGACCTCGACGAGCGCACTATGCCACACATCTCTCACCATGTCACAAAATCCATCCCTGAGCAACCAACCCAATTCGAACTTAAACTGTGGCTGGTAAGCCGGAGATGGGCTATTTGTGCTATAAAACAGTGGAGTGTGATTAGAAATCTCTCTGCTCAATGCTCGGACACTAGAAACAGGGTATTTGGACTCAAAATCCGTACAAACAAGAATTTTATCTAATTTCTCGAAGGTCTGATTTTGTAAATTATTCGCCCAAGTAAACTTCCTTCCTGCCATTTCTAATTCTCTAAGGTTTAAAGTATCTATTACATCATTGAACAGAAAAGGCCATCTATCATTATAGTTGTCATTGTTTTTCTCATCCGGTCTACGAATAATGTTAAAATCACCACCTATAATAAGAGGTAATGTTTCTTTTGAACATACTCAGACTAGTTCGGATAAGAAATGTGATTTAAGATCCGCTTGAGCTGGGCCATACACTGAGATTAAATTGAACTTAAAATCATCCTCCTTGTGTCTCAACTTAAACCGAATTAAAAAGTCCCCCTCTTCTATTTATCCAATGTCAAAGGTTAAGAGATTTACCCCTAGAATCAAGCCACCGGACCAACCCCTTGGAGCCATGTAATGCCAAAGAAAATCTCTGCCAACGCTAGATATTATTCAAAGTGGACTGTGGAAAATTGGCTTTGCCGATTTCTGATACAGCTATGAACTCTAGGTTCTTCTCTTTTGTTAAATCAGAAAGAAATTTATATTTTTTTGTGTCAGCAAAACCGTTGCTATTCTAGAAAATTCCTTTCATTGCGATTCTTTTTTTAGTTTTTTCTTATTGTTTTTGGACCTAGACTTCTTGAGATGTGATATGGGGGTCTGTAGACACAAAGGGTCACAGCCGCCATCACCTAGGTCTTCAGAGATTTTAGCACAAATGAGATTTAAAGCATCTAAGTCTAGGTCCTCATCTACTGAACAAACAGTTGAAGCATCCCCTAACAAAGAACTATTATCTACTTTTAACAAGTTACTCTCAGACATTCTGGTTGATTCTATGTCTCTAAGATGTTGCAAAGACAATGTAACTTCCTGTTCATTAGCCCCAAGTGATATACCTAGTGTGCTAGTATAAGCTAGTAAAGAAGAATCATCAAAAACATCAAAAGAAAGTGGTTGTTCTTTACCTTTGATAGAAGAAGAATCCATGTTCCTACACGCCTTTAACTTTGTTGCCTTCTCCAATGAGTCTTGCTCTGAAGTAGACGTGTTTCTTTTACTAGCTCTCACTGGTGACACTACCCCACCACTCAGTGCTTTAGTCTTATTCAAAGTGCCAGAGTCAATCTTGGATTGCCACATGCTAGCTTTCCACTTTGCAGATCCATCTAGAGTCATCCCAGTCTGGGTAAGTAGCACCACAGGCTTAACTACATGACTTTTCCTGACAGAGTTGGAACCTTTGCCTTCCTTATCAACATGATGGGGTACCTTTGCAGTACCCATAAAAACCTCCTAGGTCCTAGCGGCTGCAAGGTCTTCCTACTCAGTAAGAACAATAGTGGTAGCCTTACTCTTGTGCTGTCCACTCGGTGCAACTGAGGCATTAGGCTACTTTTCAGATGTTTGACCAGCTGGCGGGTCTTCCATCTTTTTACCGTCATGATCCATGTTCTCTGGCCCTTTTTCCTTTGGTGCTTTATCCTCATCCATGGTAGAGTCCATGTCAATGACTTGTGGCTCACCATCAGACATATCCTTCTCCACTCTAAATTGTAGCTCATAGACAAAGTCCCCAATGACTACATCCACAAGATCTGGGATGAGATCGGGATCTAGCACGGCTACTTTCATTCTAGCTATGCCATACTTCTTTGTAAATTTAGTATCAACTGCTCGAGAGACACCTAGAATGGAGCCAATTGTCCAAATGATAGGGAACTCTCGTAGTTCCTTTGGTAGTCCTCGAAACTGTACCCAAACCTTATCAATCTCATATTTGAAGACATCATTTTCAGCCCCTTTCTCAAAACGAATCTTTCCTTTCACTGTTTTGGTGTCCATCGGACCCCAATTCACCATGTGATTGAGCACTTCAGCAGAAGGTAAATTAGTGGTAAAGGCATCATTGCCTTTCTCCTCAATCACCCAACTATTTCCAGGTAGTAGTTTGTTGAGTTCTACTGCCAATTGATCTATAGTAATAGAACCCTACAGAACACGTACCACAGCTGATTTATCATCTAATACTACTTCTGGATTTTCTGCAACAGGTATAAAATAGAATCCTAGACCTTGAACAGCATAACCACATGGTATAGCAGTAGAATGAAGATTCTTCAAATTTGGGCAAACTTTTTTAACATGATCCCCATAGCAAATCTCACAGCTAAGAACTGTTGTACAAACTAAAATTGTATGCCCTTTGGTATGGCAGCGATAACAGTAGGGGTTACCCTTGCTCTTTTGATTCCCTTTTTGGGATGACTCTGGTGCATCACACTAGATCATTGCATTGTTGGAATTTGGTGGGGCAGTGGTTGGATTGAGATCAGCTGATGCGGGTACCATCGTGGTCGAAGATGGAGCCCCCATGGTTGGATTGGAGGCAGTGCCTAGCGCCTCCTGCAGGTTGGCTCCAGTGCCTTGCACTGTAGCCATGCCATGCCCATGCATAGGTGCCTGGCCATGCATGTCGTGTCCCTATACTGGTGCTTGGCTCCTTGGATGCGCCTGACCATGTCCAGTGGTAGTGGTCTGGCCACCCGCTTGGTGCTATGAGTGATGGTTGGTTGGAGGCATGGGAGGCGGCACGCCGTGGTTGGGGCCAGACGGCACCGACTGATGGTTCTAGCCAGCGTAGCCCTGGCCCCTACCATCGTTGTTGTAGTGCCAGCCACCTCCTTGCCCTGCCCCCTGATACCCTCCATTGAAGCCACCATAGCCATGTCCACCGTGATGACCATGGCCACCGTGACCACCATGGCCACGACCTCTACCACGCAGCGGGAATTGACCATGTCCTCCACCTCTCCCTCTGTACCCTAGATTGAAGCTTGGATCAAAGCCCGGATTGAACCTTCCTCCACCCCGTCCGCCGAAACCCTCCTGAGCCGCCATGGGCTTTCCTTCCTGAACAACGTTGGCAAAAGATTTTTTTGTTGGCTGTGTCACAGGATACAGCTTAGGGATGCGCCTTGCTTCCGCGAAGGGTGAAGTCACGGTATGCTTTGGCGGCTGCCTCTAGGGTTTCCTAGTTCTAGTTCTCACAAACAGACTACACAAGCCCAGCATGGGCTGGAAGAATTTTCTAGGCCCAATAGAGATTAGCTTAGGAATCTCACGCAGCTCATGAATCTTCTCGTCTGACCTTTTCCCCGTGACGCACGTGGACGTAACTACGACCGGTAGCTCAGCTGGATTCAAGGGAGGAAAGATTGGATCAAGATTCCACGGATTTGAATTTTCAAATTTTTTTGAACCAGGATCAGCACCTGCCGACCCTGACCTCGCCGACGTTCTTGCCGATCGAGACGTCGAGGGTGACCTAGAGCCTGAACTCACCGGCGACCTCACCGGCGTTCTTGCCGATCGAGATGTCAAGGGCGACCTACCACTCATAGAGCCTGAACTCACCAATGTTTTTGCCGACCAGTACTGGTAAGTCGCTTTGGCAAAAAAGTCTCCCAGGGTTCTTGGTGTAGATACCCGAGGGGAGGGCAAAGGCTCATGCCATGGCGTGCCAACCAATTTTCTGTGAACCAATGACGAGATCACTGGCCTTGAAAGCCTGCGATCACTGGATGAAGGAATGTTACCTAATGCCAAGGCACGCTCGCTCTTGCTAATCGATCCACCCGTGAAACCGCCTCGAGAGCATCCTTGACGAATTCAGTGTTGAAGGCACGCCACCTCGAGCATCGGATCTTCATCGTCAAAGTCGTCGGTGTCCTCCGGCTGCGCTTAGAATCTTGACGCGATCACCTACGCCTGGTGAAGATGGATCGCCACCGCCTTTGTACGCCATGAACGGGCTTTGGACGCAGGTCGCGCCCACGGCCATCGCTACTCTCGCGACATAGCCTCGCGACCCTTGTCGTCGACCGCTACCATCCGCTTTGTCGTCATCATTGCGCCGGTTCTAGAGCGACTACCGCCGGTAGCAAAGCCCGCCTGACCACCGGAGCGAGGGTCAAGTGACGCTTACCGACCATGATTTGGTGCCTGAGCTTTGACCTGAATAAATCTCTCCAGAGTTAGCGCTGTGCGTACACCCTGCAACAAATTAATTGGTTCTCCCGGTGACCGACGACCGGCGGATCTCCTCCAATCCACCTAGGGAGCACCACAGCCGAAGGAGCAACAGCAAGGTGGTTCGACGATCTGAGCAAACATGGCGGAGCAAACGTCGTTGGTGGTGGCGTTCGATGACTACGGTGGACAAAACGATCAAGCAATAAGGTATTAAGCACCACAGCATCGAGATGAAGTAGAAGCAAGGCTTTGCAAGGTCAGAGGAAAACCATAGCGCGCTGGCCACGGACGCACCCACCACGATGGCGCTGCTGGCCGTGAAGAAGAAAGAAGACGAGCGGTGTTTCCTGGTGCAATTAGGCAACAACGGCTGGAGGACTGGGTTTGCAAGGAGAATATGGAGCTGGGACAGGCTTGGCTATGACGGTGAAGCACTACGGCGACGGTGCAGGCTCGCCGGAGTTGAGCAGGTGGCGACGAGAAAAATAGAGGAATAGAAAGGAGACGATGGGCGACGGCAGCAGGGCTTTAAAGACGGTCAGGAAGCAAAGAGAAGCCACATAGGGCCTTCTCTCCGTGCCAGCGTGAAGCCAAGGGCGGCCACAGGCACGCCTGGAACCGAGCAGAAGGTCGCTGGCGGTGTAGCTTAAGCGGCGAACACTGTTCAACGTATTTACAGAATTGCCATTCACCAAAATTCACAAATTACTCCCAATTTTATGTAGCAACTCAAAAATCTCCAAAAATAAAAGTTGTTCAAAATTCAAAGTTCTACAACTTTGCTTTTATAACCACCCCCTAATTTGGCCTACATTTTGAAATGCCAATTTGAATTAAAAAATGGGACATTTAAAGAATTTCGCCTTTTCAATTTACTACAAATTTTTCAAAACAACTTTGAAAACTCCAAAAACCAACTTTGTATAACTCGACAAGCTCTACACTTTTGCTTTTAGGCTCAACCCCAAAATGTGCTTAGATTTTGAATTAGGTTTTTCGGGGCAAGACTAATCACTGGAAATCAGGGTTTTTGGAAATTCAAATCCAAACCGAACTTTGAACTCGATTCACACCATACAAGGCAACACATATAACATAAATGTAAACTTGTTTTAGTGAATGCATATCAAAGTTTTCACCAAGGCCAAATGCTTTGCAATGCATATGATGACATGTCCTGTTTTAGTATTTAAAACACCCGGGGTGTTACAGTAAGCCACCGGGAGGATGTGCCACACCCGTTGCCACCTCCATCACAATGTTCTGTTGGCCGCTGAGAAACACCAAGGTGCAACTAGTTGGTTCCCGTATGCGATTGACGGGGGTTGTGGCTACAGTGGAACCTTGGCTGCTAGGAACTTTCGGAGGGCTGCCAACTAATGTCAATTCTCCTACGGCGTCATTAATATCTGTGGCTCCATAGACAGTCCTTGCTCCTTCAGCGCCTTCACAACTAGAGACTTCACTTGGAACTCAAGATTAGTCTCCCAGTCTCTGCCATGTTTCTTGTACATGTGCCTATCCTCTTTGAATCCTTGCTTCTAGGTCGTCCTTTTCCCTAGCCTCCAGGTGTGGCCTGTGTGCTCCTTGTTTCCCAAGCCAAGGCTAAGCTCATCCCTCTCTCTAGAAGGATTGAATGAGTCCTTCTCCTTGTCTTTAGCATATTTCAGTATCCTTAATACTACCTCTTGGGTCTCTGACTTATCAAACTTAAGATTACCGCCAGATGATTCTATACTCCTCGCATATATCCAATTCCTTGAGCGTACCTTCAAATTCATCACATCAATATTCCTAGCAGTCGTGGCCTCTTCATCCATCTTCCTAAACTGCTCTTCCTTGGCATAGTAGCCACCAGGACCTAGATGATGGTGGTGTTTGTTCCTCTTCGCCAGCTCGGTTCGTTGTGGGCACTGAGCTCCAATGCCTCTGGTGAAGTCTTCTGAGCCATGAGCTCCTCCCATTGACTAGGAGTTATGTTGTTGAACTTGTTGAAGGGAGTTAACCCCTTTTGATATACTTCTTGTTGAGCTCCGACCTCCAACGTCGAAATGACTCTCCCATCATCCTAAAAGCATTTTTTTACCAGTTCATGCTTACCCTCCGAAAACCTAAAATTGAGCTTCAGCTTGCCTATCCCATAGTTCATCCTTTTTCGTCTCTGGTACCTCTTTCCAGTTAGGGATTGCTAGGTTCAATTTATCTCTTACTAGGGCCCCGATTGCATTACGGAATTGTCCTCTTAATTCCTTCGGCTCAAGGATCTCCCCTGCTGGCCCGACCTCCGTTATCATATAGCATGCCTTATCTGGATATTGATTTGCTTTTCTATCCCCTCGTTTCCTCTTAGGCTTTGTAGTTGTGGTTGTGTCTTGAGGTTGTGGACCAGAGGGCTCAATGTCTATCTCTATGGCTGTTGCCTCTGCTCTCCTTTCCTCTACTCTGTCTTGTCTAGCGAGATGTCACGGATGTCAACGTCGTCTTTTCTGAGTTTTAGGAGGGACATGTATATATGATAGGTCAAAGTGTTAGCAGAGGTAACACAGCCAAAGCTTTAGCAAAATTTACAAGCTAAGGCTTTTTCCCTTCCTCCTCGTTCGGGTCAAAATTCTTGTCCAAATCTTCCTCCGTTGGCCTCCTTCTGGCTTCACGTGGGAAAGGATCCTTGGGACTTACATATCTCTCTTCTGAGTCCTCCTCCTCATCATCATCATCTTCGCCTTCAGTAGCCTCTCCTACTCTTCCTTCTGCTCCCCCTTCCTCCTTGTCACACTGCTCCTGAGTAAGCATCACTTCTAGATCCTTTTCTAACTCGTTACTGAACTGCTCCTGAGTAAGCTGGTCCTCTAGTGCATGCTCCTCATAGGTTGGTTGCTCATCAAGCTCGAGGCATTGGGCTGCACTATCTGGTGTCCGCGACATTATTTCACGCTTTGTTCTAATAGATGCAAGAAAGTGTGCTTTAGATACGTGAGAAGATATAAGAAATCAAAAAGGTCTATAAACCAAAGTAGTCCTATAAAACAACAATACATCAAAAAACGAGTAGTAGCAGTAGTAAAGGCCTCAGAAACATGTCAATCATCATCTGATCTTGAACTTGGAGCATCAAGGCATCATAACAGAGAAGAGAGGAGAAGGTAATGTAGGGGCGGCTGCTAATGATGCCAAGTTCCTCACAAGTTCTTGATCATCAGCTCATATTCCATATAATGTATGGACTTAGACAATTTCATCATCGGCAAAACAAAGGAGAGGAGAGAAGAGGGGAGATTTGGCAAAAAAAAAGCAACAACTGCTTAACAAACATAGAGAGGAAAAGGTGTAAAAAAAGCAGCTGCTGCTTCCCAAACATAGAGGATAGAAAAGGTGGCAAAAAAACAACAACTGCTTATAAGTAGGGACCCATTCGATCATCATGCTAATTTTGGTCCTGTTGCGCAGTAGGACTAGAAAAGAGCAACCTTGTCCTAGAAATAAGGATGGCAAGCAGGAGGACTAGAATTCAGATGCAAAATCCAAAGGTATGGATAACTGCTTAGCTTTACCATGCACAACCAAGCTAAATGGGTTGATACTACTATCAGTGATTACACTAAAGCATCAATTGGGAACCATAATATACAATTACTAAATATCAAAGTTTATGGTGGCTATTAGAAACATGATAGTGACTCAACTATCTTAGCTAGCAAGAAAATAACAAATATCAAAATAATGGTACTGCTCGGTATATGAACACATGCACCCACAAAACTAAACTAGCACTAACAAAGTACCTGCATAGCTTGTTCAATTTAGCAACACATAGCTAAAACTAGCACTAACAATGAAACAAGGATTGTGTCGGTGCAGAAAGTGACCAA